AAAATCACACATCTAATTATTTATCAATTACATAAACATTACATCATTAATTATTTAATTAACCAAAAAAATTACATCTTTATTAATAACAAATTAATTCTTAAACAAAACTATTAAATATAAACTAGGCAAACGTACATTGCACGTTGCTTGCACCTAATAGTAAAAAAAAATATCTTCAAATCACTCAACACTATTAAATACCCAATTAAATGCACGTGCCTAAACTAGTGTTAAGATAAAACAGGTAACATGCACATAATCTAATAAAAAATGAAATAGGAGGAAAATAGAAATGATACAGTTCCATCTTTTTTTGATTAGGCTTCATTTAACGGATTTATCGTCATTTCCTGTTTGTAGTCTTGTTAGACTCGACATTCTATCAATTAGATGAGTTTCTTATGTAGACACTCTGTGTCTGTACCAATGTTTTTCTTATTTTCAGCAACTTTTGGACTATTATTAAGTGTCAAACTAATGTCCTTTTTGATGGGCTTTAAATTCCATGGAACTTGGAATTTAAGTTCCATTTTGTTTCACAAAATGACTTGTTTGATGTGTAAAATTTGGATGGGGATTGATTTTCTTGATCTACACCCATGCGCTTGTTTTCCCTTAACTTTGGTGGGAATTGATTTTCCAGTTGACTGCCTTTTTTTTTTTGGACAATTGAAACAAATTTTATAACCAATTGTAAAAAAAATTCACTTTAATGAACAATTTCCATGTAAAACAAATTCAAATGAACACTAAATTTTGATAAAAAAAATGATTTGTTAGGAAAAAAATTCATTTTTTTTTTTACTTTTTGGCAATGGAAACAAATTTTATAATCAATTGTGGAAAAAAATTATCATTTTAATGAACAATTTCCATGTAAAACAAAGCCAAACAAACACAAAATTTTAAACAATCAAACACATTTAATTAACAATTTCCCTACAAAACAATTTCTAAGCAATTACTTTCTTTGAAATTTATTTTCTTTCTACCCATTTTTCACTATTGCAATCAAACGGACCATAAAAAAAAAAAATTATTTCCTAAAAAATCATTTTTATCAAAGTTTAGTGTTCATTTGGCTTTATTTTACATGAAAATTGTTCATTAAAATGAAAAAAAAATTACAATTGGTTATTAAATTTATTTCTATTGCCCAAACATAAAAAAAAAAAAAATAAATAAAAACGGCAGCACCTGGAAAACCATTTCTTACCTAAATGGTGGGAAAATGTTTTCACCCATTTAAGGGAATATGTGTACGTGTGGGGAGGAGGGTGGAAAACATTTCGCATGGAAAAAAAATGCTATCAAACACCAAAACACATGGAAAATGAAAAATCAATCCATTTTCCATGGAAAAACAACCATATCAAACAGGGCCTAAGTGTAAATGGATTCCACAAATGTCTTGGAGGATTGTTTATCCAAATATTAAATTGGACAATAAAATGAACTATGTAGGCCCCCTTTACAATCCGTTTACAAAGTTATNGCCCCCTTTACAATCCGTTTACAAAGTTATAAATAGGAATAGTAATGGGTCCTATGAAATCTGTGAATAATAACGAATGTTAACTATGAATATATGGCTGAAATCAATATTTAACATTGACTAAATTTGTTAATCGTATCCAAACTAAAGCTTAGGGGCTGATCTCTTTGGGGCCGTTCTCTTTGTGTTTCAGTTTCGTGTTTTGAGTTTTGAATTTGTTTTGTGTTTTGTGTTTTGAGCGTCTGTTTTGAAATTTCTGAAAATGCGTTCTCTTTGTCATTCTGAAAAACTGTTTTCGAAAACATAAAAATGGAAAACGCGTTTACTTTGAAATTTTGAGAATTTTTTTATAAGAATATTTTATTCAAAAAAATTGATTATTCAATAAATTTTAATTGTTTAATGTTAA